GCTCTTCTCACCTTAGCTCAGGGCCCACAATCAGAGCTGTTATCCAGGAAGTTGGTAGACTTGCTTCGGGTCTGGACATCCCCAAGGCTAGCCAGGGGTTAACACAGGTGGAGGTGACTGGGAAAGAAGACAGAGTTAAAATTTCACATGATTTAAGGCAAATTAAACAGTAAGATGTAAAACTATTTGGAACGTGTTTTTAACATTCCATTTGCATATGGGATGCTTAACATTTAAAAGGAATATTCAGCTGCAGTTAACTATTATTTTATCAAAATGGCCTTTCTTAGAGTTTCAAAAGGCTTTTCTTAAAGCACATGTGTATGTGTACCTACGTGACATTCTCAAGAGAATTTGAATAGCTGTAACAGCCCTGGCCTGTGGTCTGCAGAGTTAAGCTCTAATTCTGTTTTGTTGTTGTTTTGATGTTGTGCCAGTCCTGGGCTTGAACTCAGGGCCTGGGCACTGCCCCTGAGCTTCTTTTTGCTCAAGGCTAGTGCTCTACCACTTGAGCCATGGCTCCACTTTTAGCTATTTTTTTTTGTTAGGGGAAGGAGTAGTTTATTGGAGTCTCATGGACTTTCCTACCCAAACTGGCTTCAAAGCTCAATCCTCAGATCTCAGCGTCCTGAATAGCTAGGATTACAGGTATGAGTCTGTGTCAGCCTGTGGGAGCTTCTGATTCTGTTTGGATCATTAACAAATGTGTGATTTTTGTAAAGGATGCGTCATTTTTGGCTCCTGTGTTTTCTTACTGTAAAATAAGGAGACTATAAAACACTAATGGTTTGTTCATTTCTTGGCTTTTGAAAACATTAGGTCCATTTTTGTTCAAGCAAATTCTTATGTGAGGTCTCAAGATACAAGCCATATAAAAGAGATTTTTGTTTTAAAATGTACATTTATAATGTTTAGTTAAAAATCTAAACTATTAGGAAACCAGTTACTCTGACGTTATAGGTTTTGGACACTTTTTTAGCAATGCTGTTGTCCAATGTATTTTTAAATTTATTTTGCTGATTTCAGTTTCGAAAAATACTGCTTTGTATCAGGCTTCAGCTGGTGGTGGCGCACAACTGTAATCCTAGCACTCAGGAGGTTGAGGATTAGAGATTTCAGAGTTCAAGGGTAGCCTGGGCTATGTAGCAAGACTCTGTCTTTAAAAAAAAAAGGCAAAAGAAGACAGAACAATAAAGAGAATACTGCTGAATGCAGTGAAGTTACGGAAAATGGGAACTGATTTTTCACAATTTGTCTTGTAATCTCAAGGTTCCTTTAATTAGATTTATTCAGATGCTTGAAAGAAGAGTATAATTCTATAAAACTTCTGCTTCAGAATCAACAACACTCAGCAGTAGCCTTCATTCCTTACAACAAATGACAGACAAGACACATTCAGAACCATCCCCCATTCTCTATGAACAGCGTGGTTAGTTCTCAGTGAACTGTTAGATGGAAAATGTACTTCATGACTTTAGATGGTTGATCTTCACCTGCCATATGGAAATAACATTAGGATCTACCTGAAAGAGTCGTGGTAAAGGTCAGACAAGCTAATCTGGGTGAGCCATCACAAGACAGTATGTGCTATGTGTTCTATAAGTGATTGGTGACTCTAGCTACACATCTTCATCTGTCTATCAGTCTGTCTGTCTGTTTTGGTCTACTAGCCCCAATCAGAAATTTCTCCAGAGCACACACTCTAGAACCTGCTCTGGAATTTCACTTAAGACAGGCATTGCCACGGGACCATTGGTAATGTCTGGAGGGAGGTTTATGTGTTCGAAAATGGTCGGGCACTGCTGGCAGGTAGAAGCTAGGGATGTGGGGAACGTCTTCCAGCGGGGGCAGGACAGCCCCTCCGCAGGATGTGAGCCAGTCTGGCCAGCCGTGGTGCTGGGGTTGAGAAGCTGAGGGGAGGCATGCTACAGGCTCTCCCACTGCTGTCGCGCTGCATCTTCACATGGAGCAGAGCTACGTGAACCATTTCCCTATTAATAACAGACAACTAGAAGTCTAGCATTCCTTTGAAAGCAGGAGCAAATGCATTATAAGCACTGCACAAAACTGAATTAACATGTTGACATAAGTTAGCACATTAGTGCTCTCTAGTGAGTTGATACTTTATGGAGAATACAACTGAGGATACACAACTTAAAACTCAATGTTAAATTAATTTAACCATCTTACAGATTTAAATTGGAGACAAATGTGTTGGAATCCTTGCAGCGTACCCTAGGGTACCTTGGAGCATGGGACATCACAGGTCTGTGGTCTCTTTCAGGTGTTAAGAGTTTGGCTTTGTTTAGCCTGAGATAGGAAATGTAATTCCTAATAGCCTTCCTTTTCCACAGAGCAGCTCAGCGTTCTCCACAATGCCGGACTCTAAAGAGCAAGAGATGTCCTTGTCCTTCTGCAGAGGGGTCCAGAGCATCTACATTGCCATCTTTTCCCTGTCTTTCACCTTCCTTCTGCCACAAAATGTCCCTTCCCCGCAGGTGACACCTACCCTTCCCTTTCTCGGCAATGCTTAGCTTACTCCTGTCACTCATTTTCCATTTGCCTGATTTTTCCATTTCCCATGATGCAGTTGCTTAAGTTAGTTCCCTTCTGATGGGAAGCTGAGCTAGACCATATTTGCAGCGCTGGAGTCTCGTGTCTCTGTGTCTGAGTTCTGTGTGTAGGTTTTGTTGTTGTTGGAGGGGGAAGTGGTTAGTCTGTTCATTTCTGGGGATTTTGTGTTGGTTTTTTTTTTCACCTGTAAAATTAAAACAGTAATCATATTCATCATGGTTGATGGAAGCGGCATCCCCGGGTAACTATTCAGATGTTAGTTGTATACATTATACCTGAAACAAAGAATGGTCTTGAAGGGAGTTAGGTAGAACAGGCCTTGGAGGAGAGGAGGCTTGGCCGGAATCCCCACGGGAGCTGATGCCAACTGACTGTACAAAAGGCCCTTTACAGTTCATGAATCCCCACGTTTTATAACTGGACAGTCAGAATGACACTGTCCCACTGCACCCCTTTCTCTCTCCCGCAGTGGTCTTTATCTTGAGTCCTGTAGACATCCTTACAGAAATGGGTCCAATTTCTTTCAATGACAGCCCAGCTTCGCAAATAAGTGCATGAACTTGCAGAACTAACTTAGCATCAGGGTGGTTCCGCTCCCCAAATGTTTGGAACAAACAGTGAGAGACGAGGCCTGGTGATGAGTGGGGCTTCCTCATGGCGTTGGAAGTGGAGCTTCTGGCAAACCCGAGATACACAAACAGAAGTCAAGGCAGGTGCTGCAGATGCCCTTTCTGAGCTGAGCCCATCTGTGCACAGAGCTGTGTGAGTAGTGAAGACTTCACAGCCAGGCCCAAATCGTTACTTTCCTCTCCGCCCTCTCCCCCACCAAAGAAAGCCTCTTTACTTCCACCTTTCCCTGCACAGATGGGTTCTTTTAAAGTAGGATAATTAAAGAGATGGCAATTATTTGATCATCTTAATTATAAAATGTAGCTTTTCATATTTCTCAGCAAAAACAAGCAAGCTAGTCTTCGTCTTTCTAATTTTTGTAGCTTCTATTTAGATCCAGATGTTTGGGAAATTAAAACTTGAGCAAATGAGTGTTTCCCACGTGTTTATCTGTTCTTTCATTAGCTAGATTTTTCCACGTCCTCAGTACGTTACCGTTTTATGCCACTCTTGGTAGAGTCAGAATGAAAACCAGGTACATAGTGCCTTGCAAGTTTACATAATCCAGTAACATACGTACAGCCTGGCTATTTTTTTTCAACCTTTTTGAAGTTTTGTTAAATCTAGGTTGTGCTAAAAATGCTAACCATCTTTCTCTCCTCACTCTCATATAGCATGCACTCCTCGAAGCTGCTAGTGTCCTGAGTATCTGCGGATGGCTGCCCTCACTGGAAATTGGGATCTGTTTCTAGGGACTCATTATTTTTATCATTTTCCTAGTCTCAGAATGTTTATAAACAAAATACACACCAAAGAAGCAATTTTAACACATGTTCACTTTGAATTATTCTTCCTCAAAGAATCAGAGATACGCAGGCTTAATAAATACTCATTGATTGCTCTACAATGACTAGTAGAATGCTCTTGGGAAAGAAGGTTCTAGAAGAAAGATGGAGGCAGGAGCAAGCTTTAGGATCTGGAATTTAGATCACTGAAGTTCTCAGTTCTGACAAACACACAGTGATTATGTGGGTTGTTTACTTTGAGGCTGTGGATAGAGAGGGCGGGACTAAGGGAAGAAAGCTGTGCAGCCATCTTACAATTTCTCTGTAAATCTAAAATTATTCCAAAATAATATTTTTTCCTGAAAAATCCACCACCACCACCAATCCAAGGACCTATCTTAGAGGTGAGGATACCTTGGGATGCAGGCATAGATCTATGTGTAGTACTCTGAAGAAGCCCAGTGCCAGTCCCTGTGTGATGGTGTGCCGCTCAGGGTCCACTCATCATGAGGCATGGGTGACACATCTCTAGCCTGTGATTTCCCAGTCCACAGATTCCCCATCCTCATGTGAATATCTACCCCAGGTTTCGGCTTTGGATACTGCCTTTGACACGTGCTTTTATTCAATTGCCTGAACTATAATTCTATGATAGAAGAAGGTAAAGAGAATGCCCATGGCTTGGGGACACCCCACATGTACAGGAAAGCATAAAATTCAGGAAACCAAAGACAACTTGCCAGCTTTGTTGAGACACCATTCCTTAAAATATTCTAAGAAGTTGAAAATATTCCGAAGCCCACACCCTACCAAGGCTCAGGCACACGGAGTGCACTGTACAAAAATACAACGATGTGCTCGGGGCCCTGCCTATTTTGGTCACAGTGTGATCCCTCCAGCTGTTAGCACAAGGTGATCGTGCATTCCATGCTTCAGTACAGGGAGTGGCCTTTTACACACACACTCACACACTCACACATACACACACAGACACACACGTATGTCTGTATAATTCCTTTTTCCTTTTGACAGCTGCAAATCAGAAGGAGCCCATGAATCTTAATTTTAAAGTGAAAGAGGAACCCAAGGAAGAAGAGCCCCTCAACACCCCTTTGCCTCGATCCAGCTATGTGTTCAGCCCAGAATCTGAAGTGGCATCCCCAAGTATCTCAGAGGATACCCTAAAGACCCAGGAAGGGAAGGGGAGCGGACTCCGGAGGGACGTGTCGATCAAAGCTGCTTCAGAACTTCTCATGAAACTCTCAGGTACCTGATTTATTCTAAAATATGCACATTCTGATCATTTCACCCGTTAATGGACCGGACTGCTTCCTGCCTGGGTTATAATTAACCTGATGTGACGATGCCACATTATGGTGGTGAACTCAGGGAATGATCAGGTTGCTTGGCTGACATCCCTGGGTTGTGCATTAGGAGTTTGTTCCTTTCGATCTGTGGACGGATCTTATTAAATACAGCCATGTTTTCCTGACTATTACTGCAAGTGGTTAGAAACCACTGCTGGTTTCAAGACAATCCAAATTGAAAGTGAATTCTATGGACATTCACAGCACTTCTGGTAGCTGAGCAAAATACCTATTTACTAAGAGAGGACCTTACATTTGTGTGTGTGTGTGCGTGCGTGTGTGCGTGTGCACGTGCGTGTGTGTATGTGTGTGTGTGTGTCTAAATTGTATTCTTTGCTTTGTTTTGTTTTTTTGGAGGTACTAAGATCTCATAATTGCTAGATGGTACCTGTTTCATTGACTGTGTGTGTGTGTGTGTATGTGAATGTGTGTATGAGTGAATGTGTGTGTTGGTTGGTGTGGGGCTTGGACTCTGGGCCTGGGAGCTGTCCCCCAGCTCTTCAGCTCAAGGCGAGCGCTCACTACTTGAGCCATAGTGCTGCTTCCAGTTTTCTGGTGGTTAATTGGAGATAAGAGTTTCATGGACTTTCCTGCCTGGGCTGGCTTTGAACCGTGTTCCTCAGATCTCAACCTCCTGAGTAGCTAGGATTACAGGCGTGGGCCCCTGGCACTGGGCCTGGTTTTGAGATAGGGTGTCACTTCCTGCCTGGGCACATGCCTAAGCTACAGTCTGCCCCCTTTGAGGCTTCCCATTGTAGCTGGCATGACAGATGCCCACCGCCATGTCCAACTTCCCTCTGTTGAGACAGTATGCTTTTCTGTCCAGACTGGCCTAGAACTGCTATCCTGTTTTCAGCCTCTCAACTAGCTAAAACTGTAGGCATGATCCATCAGCACCCAGTTATACTGTATTTTTTAAGGATCATTAAAAATATTTGTCTTCACTTGATAAGCAGTTGAGATGACTCTTTAAGTAATTATTAATAGAGTAGCAATAAGAGATTTCCTAATAGTTAACCTGTTGTTACGATGAATATCTAAATGTAATCGCAGCCTATTAAATGTAGGAAACAAGGGGGTATAGCTTGAAACTGATGCATTTTAGATTTCCTTCCACCCAGTCTGTCCTGTCTGTCCCACTGCTTTTATCACAGGTAGAAAATGCAGGGTCTTTTCAATGCCAGGGAATGACATTCAGAACATGGAGAGGAAATCTGTATTAATAATAATACTTGTCAAGTCATATTCCATCCTTAGTTCTCTGCCTCCTAAAGGTAATTTTTAGAACCTGTATTTAAAATGCTAATAGGAATCAAGAGCTGTTTTTAAGTTTGGAACTTGCTGTGCTTAGAGGATGAAAGCAAGAAATGTATTAGCGGGACTCCTCCGTGATCTGTAATTTCATCGGCAGTTCTGGCTGTGTTTCTGGTTGACTAGTAGGTTGGAAAGTAAGAAATTAATAGTGATTTACTTGGCATCATCATATCAGAGCAGTTGAAATTCCTGTATTTGCCAGTTGGTGGGGTTAAGAATTCTTGTCTTTGATGTTAACTCGAAGCATGCTGGAACTTGAGGAAAACATGATTTGTTAGAGATAAAGCATAATAGAATCCTTGCATCCTTAGGATAACCACATTTTCCCCAACTTTGCAGTGAGGGCTCAGCTCCCTTCACTCAGATGGAGGTCTGGTCAGGTGCTACTGATTGCTGAAAGCCAGGAGCTTTAGAAACAGTGGTGTTCAAGCCAGCAGAGTTTAGTATACTTGAACCCTCCCTCCTGTGTCAGGATACCTCAGTGATGTAGAGGAATCTCTCTGCTGTTATGCTGACCAGTTCAGGGAGGCTCCAGAGCTCTGCTTCTCCATAGCATAACCTTTCCCTTCACAGTGACTTGGCACCTTACCCCACAGTGATTCCTGTCCCCCTCCCAATGGTAAGCTTCTAAGGTGTGATATTTCTATTTCAAAATTTACCCATGACTGTGAGCAGAAGAGGCTAGGAGAATACCTCTGTATGTGTGTGTGTGTGTGTGTGTGTGTGTGTGTGTGTGTACTACACATTATATATGTATTATATGTATTATAATATATATGTATATATATAATATATATGTATGTATATATGTATTATATATATATATATGTATACCTATATATATGCAAAAATGAGATTTCATGAAAGGCTTTATCTTAATCCTTTTGGGTGATGTGATTTGAGATACTGAAATAAGCCATCCTTTCTCGGGTGACAGTGAGATCCTTCGACTGGAAATGCCACCGTGGCTGTCTATGATGTTAGTGGGTATCAGTGAGTCTTCTTAAATGTGTGATAACTTTTACTGAGTGTCTGTTCTCTGGGCTTCCACAAGAGCTGAATGGATGCAATGGTTTGTATTTCCAAAGGGCAGCCACCCTGCTTTATGATGTGGAAACAAAACACTTGTTTGAAGACTGGCAACTATATTTTTGCCCTGAAAAATAACCCCCAGCATTCTATGTGCAGGAGACATAGGTCAAGAAAACCCGAATCACACTCCCTACCCTGAAGATGCTGTGGTCCCAGCAGTAATCCGTTTATGTCATATTCTTCAAGGACTATTTAAATGGACTTTCTGAACTTTATAAGCAGTTGAGAGAAATTTTTTTTTGGGGTCCGGTTGTGGGGCCTGAACTCTGGGCCTGGGCACTGTCCCTTAGCTCTTCAGCTCAAGGCTAGTGCTCTACCACTTGAGCCACAGTGCCACTTCCGTCTTTTTTTTCTTTTTTCTTATGTGGTGCTGAGGAATCAAACCCAGGGTAAACGCTCTACCACTGAGCCACCTTCCCAGCCCCGAGAGAATTTTTGAAGTAATTACCAGCGGAGTAGCAATAAGAGTTTAAGGATTCCAAATTTCCTAGTGGAATATTACAATAATTAACCAGTTGTTTAGAGAAATGACTAATTCATCTCTAGTATCTAAATGTAATCCCAGCCTTATTAACTGCAGGAATGGGGAGTAGAATCCATTAGGGGCGATTTGCACCTATACAACTTGGTTCTGTTAAGAAGACGATGCCAAGTCAGTCCTAGAAACAGGCCTGTTTATCATCAAATGTCCTTCATCCCCAGGCATCAGGTAAAAATCATTCACCCTTCATGAAGGGTCCGGGACTTCTCCTCATCTTTTAGCTCCCCCTTCCACCTGACCATTCCCATCCCTTGAGGCAAGATTGATCATTGATTGATCCCTCCCCAGTGCCTCTATGCAGTTGGCGGAGCTGCTCCGCATTCACGCTGGCCTGCGGCAGAGACTTCTTACACCTGTCTTGCTTCTTTACATGAATAATGTCCTGTCATTCTGGGGTAATCCTTTGGTCAGGCAAGTGTTGGAGGCAAAAACTAGTGACATTTTCTCTTTCCTTCCTTCCTTCTTTCCCTTCCTTTTCTCCTTCCCTCATTCTCTCTCTTTCCTTCCCTCCCTCCTCCCTCTCTCCTTCCTTCCTTCCTTCCTTCCTTCCTTCCTTCCTTCCTTCCTCCCTCCCTCCCTCCCTCCCTCCCTCCTTCCCTCCCTCCCTCCCTTCCTTCCTTTCTTCCTTCCTTCCTTCCTTTTCTTTCCTTTTTCTTGTGCTGGTACTGGGGCTTCAACTCAGGGCCTTGTGCTGTTTCTTGGCTTTTTCCACTCAAGGCTGGTGCTCTGCCACTTGAGCCACACCTCTTCTTTCCATGATCCTTCTTATTCTTGGGAGATGTTCAGTCCAAGATGTCTGGCAGACGCTGAGCCTGCACATAGCTCTGAATTCTGGGTACACTGTACTTTTTCCTAATAAGACATGATGAGCCTGAATTCTCAAACTAGGTACTGAAAGAGATTAGCAATATCTAATAGGATGGAAGAATTATAACAATATTATAATAGAAGTTGTTTGGAACTTAGGAATCATTTATGTCTAGACTTACTTCTTTAGTGTTTTCAGAACACAGTTGACAGATGGTAAGTGGAAATTGATGTGACCGAGATGGGAGACTATGGAATCTGAATCATCCTGTGTCTCTTGTGATACAAAGAATTGCTAAGGTATAGAAGTTTTCTTCTCATTTTTATTTCCTTCAGATAAGAAGCTTTGACCTCTACTTGAAATCTTTTTATTCCTTATTAAATTAAGAGGAAACTAGTCAACAATTTTGGTGGTGGTGGTGGTTAGGGGGCTTGAATTCAGGGCCTGGGCACTGCCCCTGAGTTCTTCTGTTCAAGGCTAGCACTCTAAAACTCGAGTCACAACCCCACTTCTGGTTTTCTGGTGGTTAATTGAAGATAAGAGTCTAATAGGAACTTTGCTGCCCTGGCTGGCTTTGAACTGTAATCCTCGGATCTCAGCCTCCTCAGTAGTTAGGATTATAGGCATGAACTACCAGCAGCCAGCTAGCCAACAGTTTTGTTCACTTAATTTCCAGTTTTAAATGAAGTTAGGTTAATTTGATGAGGAGGGATATTTGGGATATTTGGTTTGGTCAAATGTCCCATAAAACCTTCCTATGTAAATAAACCTGTGTAAGTACATTGTTTTCTAAATTGACCTTTATGTTCTATAGGAACAAAACACAATTAATTGGCTAACTTTTTCATTAGCTCTGTGTTTGGGAAAATCTGAGTTGTCTTCCTTCCTGTGGTTTAAATTCCATTTCCAGTTGTTAATTGGGAGGTTGAATCCCTGACAGCAGGGCCTAGTGAGTTGATTACTATAAAGAAAGCAACTCACTCTGAGGAAACCACTGGATGTCTGAGACTCTCTGTTGTTGTGTGACACAAGGCAGCCAAAGTCATCAGAGTGCTCTACAGAGCGTGTGGTTGCCAAAGACAATTCCCAGATGTCTTCATTTAAGGAGGCCTAGACCTCAGGGTCTAAAGGTTTTATAACATAG